GGGGGGGATTATCCCATCAGATCTAGAAATCCATAAGCCTAAAAGTGAGTGTACGTGTGTAGGGCATGATCCACAGACCATTTTGCCTAGCTGTTTTCTTCGATCCTAATAGTCATTAGTGTGTTTCTATCCTAACAAAGTGGACCACTCACATGCTATGGTCATGCTATTTTGCCATTGTTTTAGTACTTCTCTCTCTTCTTATCCTTATAATATTCTTGTATTTCATTCAGAAAAAACCTTTGTATTCTTCAGTCCTTATTTGATCTTGAATCTTTCTCCTCTATTCTCTATTTGAGGGCAAGTTGTCAGATACATCTATAACTGCTCCTATAACACAGACGTACTTCTCTTTGAGAACTTGAAAGCACCTATCCACCTAAGCTTCTCCGACTTCTTTTACAGATAACTTTTGAGCAACTGGTGTGCCACCATGCATCCACTACACTTGTAACACCTCAAACATTCTGATACTTTACATTTGCAAGTTAGCTTTCAAGCCAACCTGGTTTCCATCTCGACAAGAACAAACACTCAGAGATTCTGGCTCATTGTTTCAGCAGTTCTTCCAGATTTCACAAAAAGTTTAGGAATGGTGAAGGTTACATAGATAATGTACCACCATAATACCATGACCATATTAAAAATATTAAAAAAAACACCTCTCAATTTCTCATAAAATAATGCATATTCCTGTACACTGCTGGATAACAATGGGACACGTGCTCCAAGGCCACCTAAATTGATGGACCTCCCACAAAACACAAATTAGTTGTTATAATAAATTCACAAGTATTTCTTATTTAATCGAGATATATTACCCTAAACAATAGTTGTTTAAGAATGACAGCAAGTCAATTATTATTTATGGTAGTTGACTGACAACTGTATGTCTAAGGTCTTTCTCAAAAATGAAGCTTATCAAGAATGATCTTCATTCTACAACAAGGCAGCAAAAATTGTAATTTTGTACCATTCTCTCTACCGAAGTAGAAATCCTGCAAGCACTAAATATGGATGAGATTATATCAGAATTCACAGTAACCGAAGTCAGAAACAAATAATCTAATTAATTATGAAAATTATGAACTGTTATTATATTTTCAATCGAAAAAATTCAGTATTAAACATTTATCAAGAGAGAGAGAGAGAGAAAGGGAGAGGCTGAGAGTTAAGTGCCCCAGGGATGCACCACAGCTAAATCCAGCCGTTTTTGTAGATTTCAGGCACAAAAACTAAATACTATATACGTTTCCTACAAAGGTCTTACCATTTCTGCTTCTGTTCAGTCAAAGATTGCTTGTTACATGGATATGTCCAGGGCTAAAAGATATTCTTATTGGTTTAAAGTTAACAGCCCTAAAAGTAAAAGCTTTTCTTGAAGCTAAAGCATATTAATGACATATTGTTCATGTTGATGCATCATGGGAAAATGTTCATGATGTCACTGGCTGTTAGTCAACTAAGTTTCTGGCAGATGAATCTTGGATGGAGTGATAATTTTCTCAGATATATTTTTAACATTTTTTAAAAAGCATTTAATTACTGCAAATCAAAGGTTAAGGAATTTGACAATTCACTAAAACAACCTTGTAAATCCTGTTATTTCTGGTGAGAATAACCAATAGACTACTAATGTATTACACACATATATAACAATTTCCTATGTTTTATTAATATAAAGAAAATGCTGTTTGTTGAGAAACAAATACTCACCTTCTAATCTTAGAACTAGATTAAGTTCCAACATTTTTTGTAAGTAAGTTAACATTCATTTTTAAGTTTTCAATCTATACTTAATGTTTTCTGCCATTTTTTAAATCAGCAGCAGCAGTGCTTTTAGAAAAACGTTTCTTTCACAAATTATAATTTGCTTCAAAAGCCTTGCCCAGCAAGCTAGTCTTTACTGGATTTTCTGTCCTATTTTTTTTAAGCCTACATCCCACAAGTTCCAATGATTATTTACATTAATGATATCTTTAACCTATTTCAATAGTGTTGAAACAAGAAGAGTTTCTACTGACCAGGCAGATATTTCAGCAATTTAATGCAAGGTGCTACTGGAAGTTTTAGCAGAACCTCACAGAGTCTCCATTTAGTGAAATATGTTATTGTACAACGTGGAAATAATAAGATACTACAAATACCTCATATTTTTTTAAATAGTGCACTCAATATTTTGATATACCAAGTAATATTTCTTTTACTTATGTTCTGGATCATCACACATTCAAAGTATTCTTCACAATCCTCCCGCTTGCAAATAGAAAAGTTAAAAACCTGATTAGGATGGTTGTAAAGTACTTCTATAAAATTTAAAATGAAAAATCAACATCTCTCAAATTAACCTAAACACAGAACTTACAAAATCCAAAGCTTTCATTGCCCTGTACACCTCACTCATAATGTCATATGGCTTGCTTTGTGACCTGATACCTAAAAAAATGGACATCTTTGAGTACACTTAGTCTTCATTAAATCAAAGATATAGCAGCCTACCAATGAGCTAAAACTTTTACTGTTATAATCTAACACAAAAGAAAACTTAAATTATGCACAAAATTATTGAAAATTAACCATATGAACTCAAAACTTTCAACCACTATACAACTGGTAAAAAAAGATAATCATGAAATTTACCATTTTTTTGTTTTTAAACTAAGCAGATAGTACAATGTCCAGTGTATTACGTATAAGCAATGGCTATTAAACTAAACTTAATTTATTTAATCAGGCCAAGATAAGGCAGCTCTTTCCATTTGCTGTACAATAATGTGAATACAGGATTTACTTACCAAGATGCCACTTAGCCCTCTTGACAGGAGTTCCTTTGTTTTTGTCTGAGTTATTGCCAACAGGCCCACTCTGCCAACGTTGACGTCCTACAGGTATCAAAATATAAAAGATTTTGTGCACAGAAAACTACCAAATTGTAGGAAACACGTAAAATAGTCATATCACAAATATATAGCTTATGTCAAATTTGGAATTCAGCTCATCCATTTCCTTTAACACCTATTGTATCTAATACAAATTTATTATGGATCAAACTAGTTAAAGTCCCGAGTCACATATCTCGATCTACTGATGTCTCCATTAACTGCCCAAAGTCCCTGGCACTTTGTCACATCAATGGTGACTGTAATGTAAACTATTATCTGTACTAAATAAAGCTCTCACAGTTAACAGTTAAGAACCACCCATTTATGCTTAAGAATTAACCCTAAAAGTAGCTAAATGCTTTACCATATACTTAGTGAACCACTGAATGGCCTAATGAAATTCTTATTATACCTATCTAATATCTACAAAAACCACAGGCAAGGGAATGAGATATGCTAAATGCTTGAATAATTCAGTGTTTTACTGATAATCAGTTCAGCAATCAGAACTGGGCCGATTACTGCATAATCAGGTAACAATCGGTGTCGGTAGAATTTGTCAAATTTCTCAATCATGGAAAACAGGTTGCCCAGAGATTAAAAATAACATCCAGACTACTTTATTCACAACAACAATCTTTTGATTTGTAAGTATGCTTATAATCATAACCCTGTACTTTTTCTTTTGACACAATTCACCATATTATGTGTATTAGCTCATTGTTTGGGGAGGTTGCCAAAGAGAGCATGACAACAGAGTGATTGAAAATTTGGAATGGCCCATCATTTTCCAATAGGGGGGTTTTGTTAATTGTTTAAATTGTGAATGTCTCTGTTGGCGATGTAATTATAAGTTGAAAGTGGTAAACAGGTACATACAAATTCCATTTCATCATTTGAGAGTCCTGTTATTTATGAATATGCATAGTTCCAAGAAGCTACCTTAAAGTTAGTTGTGGCTCGACAAACTTAACTGCTGATTGGTTGATTGCTTCTGAATGAGAAAAACTATACATTTTGGGTTTTTCAAGTAGGAAGCAAGTGGTTGAAAAAGAAGAATCACAAAGGTGGTTAATTGTCATAACCAACTGTCCATTGCACCTGTAGCTAGCAGGGGAGTGTATACATTGTTATCGACAGTAAAAGCTAATATTTTACGATTTGAAACAAATGTCAAAAGTAACAGTATAAGTGCTTAGGTTTGAAACACATTCGATGAAAGCATGTGTTGAGCCAGGAGGCAATTATTAGAAAAAAAAACATTTCCATTTAAGTCTTAGTACAGGGATACAGTAGTTTTTGCTTTCACCATTTTGACCAACACCATTAGAGGCAAGTAAAAAATAATAATAACAAAAATCACCTTTCAGTTGTTCTGGATGAAGTTTACCAGGGATCTGAAAAATTGAAACACATTTTCTGAATTAACTGCACATCACATATATATATATATGCACACACTTTTTTTTCAAATTACAAAAAGTTGGCTTAACATTCAATACCTAGAGTATCAAAACTTAAGAGGTACAATACCCAATAGATCAAATATTACACGTTTTTTGGAGATACTTACTTCACCTATTGAAGAGGAAGGACTCGAAGGCAGATAAAAGTCTTTAATGTCACATTTTGATTCATACTGTTTGTTGTCTATGATAAGATGATAAGCAATAGCTAATTGATCATGAGGATCACCACTTAACAAAGCACTATGTACTTCCTTTTCTTGAACTCCAAATTTCTGAAAGGAAAGAAGAAAGGCATTAAGACATGTACTCTATAATGTGATCTAATCTACTTGTGGTCTAGTACGATATAAATTTACACAAACAGTAATTCATACTTTTCGACCTACTAAATATTCCAGAACATGTCAATAAAACTAAAGTTTTAAGTTTGATTACCTTGTGTCATTCCATTCTCTAGTTATGTTACAAACTATAAATAATGTTTCTGAACCTCTTTTACTACAAATGAAATAGAAAGGGATATTGTTATTCACACTGACTAGCAGAAACATCATCCTATAGGTGGGTGGGTGTTTGTGCTAGTAATTACTAATAGTAGCATTCATACCTCATTAAAAAGAAAATTTAGAAAAAGTGAACATTTTCCAAAAAAGATTTTTTCTGGGAAGTACTACATGGGAAAAGTGGTTGGACTGTGGCGATATAAACTGTAATGTTTTCATATATTAAAAGTGGTGTCCTTTATTGAGAAAAATCAAAGTTTCTTTTTTTTAAAACGCCATTATTTTTGTACTATATTTAATATTTTACATCATTAAAGATATAATCAAACCCTCGTGTAGAGCCCTAATGAAAGTAGTGTTCCCGTCATGAGGAGAGTGCATTTATTTAAAATTGTGTTCTCTGGTAAAGAAATGATTGTATAGTTATTTTTTAGTTGTCCAAATCTTGAATACTCAAAGTGCGATTTTGTTTTAAATGAATTTGTGTTTGTGATGCCATTCAATAGGTGTCGCCACATGGTATGAAACATTATAGTAAGATTTCAACAATAAATTGTTAACCAAATTTACCATTTTGCAATATCAACCCTTAAAATTAGTTCTTTTCTGTAATTAAAATATTCATATGTAACAATCTTTATAAAGTAACTATTTACTTTGTGTTAAAAAACTCATTAAGTAATCTTTTACTTGTTATTAATATGAACATATTTTATTCCTTAATAAAATCCCATCATATTTCCCACTAAAACATCCTTTACTTTTAACAAAATGCTCTCCTAGTTTACAGTGTACATTGTTAAAATTATGGTTGTAGTTAATCAACTGGAGTTTGACTTTAATTTTTCTAACAATTTTGAAACACAAAATAATTTATTACCTTCAGAGTTTCCCAAAAACTTTTCAGCTTTTTTTTTTTGCATTTAATTTCATCAAGTGATAAAGAATTATAGTTAGAATGCATGCATAAAGACAAAGTGTATATAATAAAAGGTTTATACTGTTAGCCTAACTCTTACTTCACAAACTTCATAGACAGCATCAGTGTCAATGATTGAAGCATCAGTGTCATTTGGTGAAGGGAACAAGTAAACAGGGAGGTCTTTCTTGAACCATTCATGATTTCTGAAAAGACACATTAGCTTTAATAACCATTTAGTTAAAAGCTTACAAGTAAAGTAAATTACAGGCAAACAAAACTTTTAAAGTACAAGCACTGTTCATGCAATGTTATTCTCCATTATAAGAAAGCTGGGAGTACAGATACATAAATTACAGAACTGTGACAATAAAAATGAATAAATTACACAAACTTTACTTTTATTCTTTTAATATTTACAAAAAGAAAACAAAAAATTTCTGACTATTTTTTAATTGCAATATTCTGTAAGTCTCCCAAGACCTTGAATATGGTAAGCTACCTCTTGGCAAGTAAAGAACAGTTAAAATCCTATTAATGTTATTTTTTCCCCCCATCATATGTGCTATAAGACCAAAAGAATTACTTACTTCAGATCTTCAATAGTTGCTCTTTTCATGGGATCCACCTGCAGCATGTGACATAACAAACTGACAACAGACCTGTTCAGATAGTCAGGGATAGGAAAAGCTCCCGCTGAAAGTAGTAATAAAAATTACACTTAATACTAACACCAAGAAGATAAAATAGAATTTGAAATAGCAATCATAACAGTAGAAATTACATTTGAAATTAATATCAAAAAGAAACACTAACTTTGAAACAAGAAAGGTGAGTTTGAAAATCATAATCAACTAGCAACAAAGATTTTCAAAATTTGAAACATTTTCTACCAGCAAAAAATGTTAGGTCTTAATCTATCACCAAAAGTAAAATAAACTTAAAAGTATAATATCAAAAAGCACTATTTACGATTCTTATGTTAACAAATCTATTAAGATCTTTTCTTAAAAAATTAAATGTTCAAAATTATAACTAAATTGTTCTTTAACAAAATGATCAACAGATCTTAAATTGAAGTATTTTAAGGGAATCATTTTTGCATTGATACATGTAGTAAACCAGATGCACTGAGAATACTTCTATATGTTATAACCTTTGGAACAAGTGCACTCAATTTCAAAATGGTTATAGTTAGGATTTGACTGAATCAACTTGTCTAAAAGAGGTTTATAAAAAATAACAGGATATTCTGTAACAAGTATGATTCCTTTCTGGCAATGACCAGAGTTCCGTTTTATTGGCCAATGAGGTTATGGATTTTTACTCAGTGCAACATCTTATTTTATTAAATCATGCAATACTTGTATTTGTTTTGTTGTTGTTGTTGTTTTTTGGGGGGGTGGGTATCATGACATCTTACTACCAATCATTTGATTGCTGACATATGTCTGCCACAACATTGTACTGCAAGTATATAATTATGTTCTCAAAACAAAACATTTTCTGGCACAGTGAATGACTTTATTCTCAAAGATTATAGTGAACTAATAAACTATTGCACAAAACTTGATTAAAAATAAAATTTAATAACAAAGTAATTGAATAATTTGCTGGAAAAAAAAAAAAGCTATCACTACAGAGCAAATACATATACAGGAATCCCTCGATTAGTGCGGCTCTTTTAAAGAACACATTAACCGCTCTAATCGAGGGATTCCTGTACTATTAGTTATGTTCACATGGGTACAAATTTTATGCGTAACTTTCATGTTTAAGGTTTTTTTGACATGATAATGGTTACTTTTATAATAATTAGATAATATAATTTCTGCACACAGAAAAGTTAAAATGAAATAATTAATTGCTGCATCCCTTTGTCAGTAGTAAAGTGTACCGGCAGTCATATGTTGGCAGTGGAATGTGGCATAACCATGTTAGAGCATCTATGTACAACACATCCAACTCTAGTCCTCTTGGCAAGTGTCCAAATAAACTGTGCAGTCATCTGCAGGTCTGAAGCAGATCTCCATAAGTTTAACTCATGAAGTCTGTTCCTTATTACTTAGTGAATGATAATCACACCAGTTGCTGTTCCGAAGCCTATGTCAAGTACATAGGAAGAGGAATGTTGAATCCTGATTACCATGTTGTACAGAGAGTTGGTCAATAATGTATAGTTGATATTCCACAACCTTCTACACGCTGTCTAGAGCAGAGGACAGTTGCCTTATGGCATGTTCACAACCTTCATAGCAAGATCTTTGATACATCAAAATAAGCTACTACTTGTTTTTTTGTTTATGTAGTTTTGAAGCTCTGAACTCTAACAATGCAAAAGCTTCACCTGACACCAGCATAAAATTTTACAGAATCAGTTATCAAAATCAAAGATATCACAAAAACAATAAATGCTTGCACAAAATCTGCCAAAACAGCAAAGCTCACAAGAGATCATTAATAATAACAAGTGGAGCTTTGAAACTGTATTCAAGTGTAATTTTCCTGGTTATATATATTCAAAATTCAGTTTTCTAGAGATAAAGCTAACTCCACAAAAGGTAGCTTGTGTTGAAAAATCAAACTTCAACTACTTACATTTAATTTTTCTGAAGAGTGTGGGTACATGTTCATCATCAAAAGGAAGCTGAAAAAATTAAATAAAATAATCAAAATTATCTTTACTTTTTTTAAACTGACACCTGTTTTTGCTATATCGAGGAATTCACATATTTAATGAACACTTGTCAGTAGGTTAAGATAATCCTGAACTATTTTAACAAAAATTAAAAGCTACAAGTCTAATCACAGACTATATAAAATGCATAGACGTACATACATGTAGTATGGTTTCAAATGCTTTTGGTAATTTACACTAAGACAAGTAGTTGTTTCTCATGCAAAGAGACACCATTTTGAATAAATGGATCTCAAATTACCTTATCCAAGATCAGCTAAAAAACATCTAATTATCAGTTCTTACTTCTTCTAGGACAGCGTTTCTCAACATTTTCAATAATGCGGACTGACTCACTGCCTCCCTAAACTGTTGAGAACCAATGAAATGCAGGAACAATAAAAAACTATTATGATTTACATAAGAAAATTCCATTGTTTTTTTTTTTTGTTTGTCTTTTGTGAAGTCCCATTGACCAGCAAGGTGGTTGCAATGGACAGGCACTATTTAACAGCAATAAATTCACTCTAGTGTTTTACAGATTGTGGATATTAAATAGATAGATACCTAAAGAGCTTGTAGGAAAAACTGAAGCATTACCTTCTGTTTTGCTTAACCAAGGATATCAGTTTTAGTATTAACAAAAACAAACACTACTTCTAAAAATAATTTTTCAAGACTAGTTTTACTCAGAGAGAAAAGTTAAATCTTACTGTGCCACAAAGCAGAGCATAAAGAATCACCCCACAGCTCCAAATATCTACTTCTGGTCCAGCATACAACCTTAAAAAGTAAGACATTTAAGTTTAGTGTTACATGTATCAGGAATCCATTTGACCAGATATTTACCAAATCATCGGCTTATATACAATTGTCTTGTTATATTTATATAAATAAACATATCTTTACTTACTTGTGCTTGAAATTAAATTAGTATTTTAAGAAGCAAATTTTGCAAATGAAAATAATGTTACTTACTAATTTTAGGAACTTATGAGTGAAAAAAAAATAATAGAATGAGAAACTTTCCACAGTAGCTGTAATATTAATTTGGCCAAAGGAAAATTTAAAAACAAGATATTAGAACACAATAATTTTTTTATTCTAACAGCAGGAAAAAAAAAAGAATCATTATTTGAACCAAGATTCTTAAAAAATTAATAGACATGAAAATTTTAATTTAAAACATTTGTCTAGTTATTCACATTCATCAGAAAAATTAATTTCCTTAAGATATATTAATCAAAATAAATAGAGCAAAGTATCTTGCTTTATTTCAGAACATAAATTTAACTAAGGGTTCTCCAGGAAACAGGACATGGCACATAGTATATGCGGCTTATTTAACAATCTAAAAAGTAAAACTATGCTCAACTATATTCTTTGATAGATTGTTTAGTCAGATTATTCATGATGAAACTTAGTTGAATGGCTGGCACTGCCTGTTGTAGAAACTATACTTTGAACCAATTTTAGAATGGTGTCTTATAATTGACTGTCTTATTTAGTTTTAAGAAAGATTATTCCCAAACACTATTCATATCTTGTTAATTTGAAAGCGAGTTTCAAAGTTTAAAATAAAAAACTGTTAGGAAAGTTAATAACTTTGTTTCATAAAAAAAACTAAACATCACAATAATATTAAGTAACCTTAAATATCAAACTACATATCAATGTAATTACTGGTTTAAATTATACCAGCTACACTTCTGAAAACAATAGTACTATTATTATTATTATTAATTTTCAAAGACAGAAGAAAAAAAAATATCACACCTTTTTTTTGCAAAAATATTATTCGGTAAATATACAATCACAGCAAGATATTCCCGTTACAGAATTGTTACACTTAGTGCACTGACTAAACACGCAGCAAAAACATGTTCTGTATAATCCCTGATAATTGAATTATTCTAAACACTTATTAAAGAAATCAATATTAAATCTAACTGATACAATCACTGTTTTATTCTTTAAACTGTCGGGTCAACTTTTTTTTTAATCTAGAACAGTCAAAACAATAATACTTCAACTATTAAAGAGATAATTTCATAATTATAAAAATTCAGTGCCTATGATTGAAACAGAATCATATACTCAATCAACAAAACTATATCCACAATATTAACTTGTAACATACCTAATAAATGCTAAAAGCATAACAGGTATTGTAAATACTTCAATGAATTCAAGAAGTAAGAACATTATAGTTCAGTAATGCCTAATTTAGTGTGAAACTAGAAAACTATGTACAAACTATGACAACAAAAATCATGGAATTCAAATTTAAAAGTAGCAACAGCTTTTTGTACTGGTATTGTAAGCTCTTAAACCCAAAACACCATTTATTAATGTTGGATCATAAGTAAGGTAACAAGACAGTTAGTCTAGGTACGGTCACACACACACACACTATGTAAGGATACACAATTCAGTAAGACATCACCACATAAAACTAATTCTAAAATTTGCTAACTGTTGTATTTAATGTTGAATTATGAATCACATGGATAATAATAGAAAACTAATACAGGATGATTTAATACTGGATTACTGAAAGGATAAAACAAGTAGCCAGTTGCTTTCAATAATTAGGTCAATATGACAATGTGTATCAAGATAACCTGCTCTCTGATCATCCAAAATACAAAAGGTAATGAATTGATCTTTTAAAAACTAACTTCTAAGAAGCGTCTGTCACATTGTAAATAAATTTGAAGCTGTTGAACCTTTATGTAACGGACTTAGTTTTTGGAGATTTTTCACACCGTTGGCTTATGAAAATGTCAATACTTACATATTAAACAAACAGTGTTTCAGAAAACTATCACCTATGAGAAAGCAAAAATGACATTAGCTGAAGTAATCTCTACACTCACTTTCCAGAGATAACTTCAGGAGCAGCATAGTTTGGTGAACCGCAGCTCGTACAGAGAAACTCTCCATCCATCATCATGTTGGAAAGACCTGCGAAATAAAATATGTAGTCCACATTATGATTACACAATGTTCTATGATTTGACCATTTGATAAGGAATAAGTAAGCAAATCTTTAAGGTCATAAGTTAGACCTTTACTTATAACCATTTAATTTTGATGAACTAATGTCTACATGAACCACACAAGTAAAGTTATGACAGTATACTTTTATTTTCTTTTATTATCTTCCCCTGGTAGTTTCTACATCTCAGACAACAGACATTGATAAATATTACTAGTTAAAAGTGTGGCTCATTTGGAGTTAAAAACTTGCAAAATAAACAAGCATAGTTCTACTTGTTCATTTTATGTTTTTCACAATAAATAAAACAGAAATGTTCCATTGAAGAAGTTACCAACAATAAAAATAGAAAATTTAAGGTTAGCATCCTAAAGCTAAATAAAACTTAACATTCAAGTAACATATGTGGTGTTGAAATATCCTTTCATTCACAACATTTCAAAAACACTACACACACAGACTACAGTACCCTACTACAAAAGGCCTAGTCATGTTTAATATTTTATCTAGTGTCACTAGTGAGTAGTGAAATTCTTTAAAACTGGTCTAATTCAGTGACATGTGGCAAATCAAGAATTATAATAAGCTTGACTTCATACTTCTTTTTGAAATCATTCACAGTTTTATTGTTCAGGAAAAAAAAAATCAAATGAATTACATTTACTATTAAGGTGAAACATGTTTGAAACTACTCATCTGGGGTAGATTTGTTTTAGGGAACATTACCCTCACCATAAAAAGTGGGCTAGGCTGCAGTCACACAAATAAATGAAATCTAATTCAAGGTAACCACCAGTATACCTTACAAAAACAATGTCCTGCTCATTCATAGGCTAATCTTTACCAATGTTGCTATTTTCAAGCATAAGAAGTAAACTGTTCACAAAACTGTTGTACTACAAGTATTTCAAACATATTCCTGTGGTCACCAACTTCTAATCAGTCAAGTATAAAAAATAAGAAACTTTGCAGAATGATATTTTTCAGTTGTTGAATCAGTTTGATCTTAAATTTTAAAATGTCTCCACTCTTATTGGTCAAGAACATGTGAAAAAAAAATTGATTTAAAGTAGCAAGCAAATGGCAAAGACACGCAATGGTAAAAACCAATTACGTGAAGTCCTTCATTTTTGGTGTGAAGGAAAGGCTACCAAGTGCAATATCTCTTACGTGTCAAGACACTAAATTTTTACTTTTAAATAAAGAATTACAAACTTCTTAATATTATGTATAAATGTGTGCATGTCTGTTATCTGTTTACAACTGATCTTATGTAAAAAGGCTGTTGTACAGCAAATGGAAAACATCTCATTAAAAATACACTTTAGCAAACAAAACGATTATAAAAATAAAACCACATCTACTCAAATTAATAATTCATAAGAATAGTTCATAAATCTCTATAAAGAACAAGATTATACGAATAACCTACCAAAGTCTGCAATCTTCACATTAAGACTGCTGTCTAACAAAAGGTTTTCCGGTTTCAAATCTCTGTGCACAACCATGTGTCTGTGACAATAATCGACACCAGAAATAATCTGCTGGAAGAACCTACGAGCATCGGACTCCTTTAACTGGAAATGGTGTATGCGAGAGCTTTATCATACACTCCAATTCAATTTAAAACAAAATGAAAAAGCTACAAATCACCAATAACCCCCTCAAATCCAAATTTTAAAAGCTAACTTAAATTTTAAATTGGAATTTAACACCATTGTTTCAAAGATATCTAAACCAGAATAAGAACTTAAAACTTAAGTACTATGAACAATAAATAAGAGCTGACTCCTACCAGCTAATATCACACACACACACACACAAAAGTAGTCAAGCCTTAACTTTAGTATCATCAAGAAAACCTCAAGTTTTTGAACTCACTTTCCCATGCTTAACAATATAATCAAATAATTCTCCACCAGACACAAATTCCATGATCATAAAGATGTCAGTTGGAGTACTGATCACCTGGTACCTGCAAAGACAAAATTATGCATGTGTGAGAAAATAATTCTACAAAAAAAGGAAAAGCTCCCATAAAGCCTCAAGAATGAAACAACAGTTAATTACATGTGAATTACTTAGCCAATGTAAATTAAGCCACATTTTTAGATGCAAATATGGTTTTACATTCCAGAAGATTCTCCATATAAAAATCAATAAAATTAAATCTGCCATAGGGAAACCAATTTTTCAAAAATATGAAAGTGGGGGAGCTATTAAAAAAAAAACCCTGCTAATACTGTTATCAAGTTAATTTTCATTTATAAGGAGGGAAAGAGCTAGAGAAGTAAACAATATATTAATGCTGCTCTTAGAGACAAAATAAATATATACTTTTATCTATAAAATCTTTAGTAACGAATTATTTTAACACCCATGTTTAATTATGTCAATTTTTGGTGATGAATTTAACATCTCATTCATTTCAGGGAAATAATAAACCATTAAGAAAAAACATGCATGTCCTTAAGTGTAATATTTCAACTGTTACCTTACAAAATTCGTAGATCACATTTTAAACAATACTTCAACATTGTACATTTCATTTTTCACACAAAATTTAATGATGCAAGAATGAAGTACTACAGTAAACGTTTCATACTATGAAATGCAAGTAACTTTACAACATACAAGTTATTAATGTTTCATGTTTATAACAAAGTCACAACTTAACAACAGAGTACAAATGTGTCATTACAATAACTGTTTGAAATTTGTGAACAAACAAAGCACTCATAGTATAAAAATGTAAGTTTGAGCTTTTGAAACAAGTTTTTTTGAAGATATACATATCAACTCACATTTTAATGATGTGAGGATGTCGAAAAAGTTTGAGATTCTGGATTTCCCTCCTGATCTTTCCCACGACATCAAGATTTTTTATTTTTTGTCGATTAAGAATCTTTACAGCTACTTTGTGACCAGTAAGTTGATGACGAGCAGCTGAGGATATAAAAAAACAAAACAGATGCAGAGGGTATGATAATGATAATAAGAAGAAGAAAAAGAAACTTTGCATAATCAATTAGGAAAACATAATATCACAAAAAAGAGCCAACATGGCTTCACTTAAAGGAAATTTTGTCTTATCAATCTGTTAAAAAAAACTTTTTCTGTGAAGATACTGCTTGTTATCTGGGTGAAATTCAACTTCTGGGCATTTCTAGCTGTATTGAGGATTCCAAGAAACTAGAGAATGACCTGAATCAAATGGCAAGTTAGAAAAATATATAGTGGTGCTCTAGGACTAATAGTAAAGCTAACAGAATTTGAGGATGTACTTATAAACACATTGATTACAGGTTAAAAAGAGGTAATTATCTCTCTATAGAAACCACTAAACTATTAAGCCCTCACTTGGGATACTGTTTCCAGATTTGGTCTACTTATCTGTGACAGAACATTGACTTATTGCAAAGTGTTCAGAGGAGGCAATGATTATACTATGATGATTTGGATTATTGAAGGTTATCTGACAGGGATAGGGTTAAGATCTCCATCATTTGATTTTTACTTATGAACTGGTCATTGACCCAAAACCACTAAAAGGGAACATCTTAAAACATTTCACATGATGTTTTGCCAGGGAGGTATGTTTGAACTGTGAACTGATAAAGTTGCTAAAAGGATTTTAAATATTAGAATTAATACAAAATATTTGGAAGTTCATATCTACAGTTGTCTTTTGTTACCTAAACACTGGTTCTCTACAAGATAATAAAAAATTGTTAATTTAAAAAGGGGGAATAGGGTTCATTAAAAAAAAGTACAAAAGCAAATTCAATCAAAATACAAAGATTATATTTTCAAGCCTACAACTAGCAACTCTAAAAAAAAGTTAACAAAATAGGCTGGAAATAGTGTCTACATTATTTTCTCAAGCGACAAATCCCTATTTTGACTCCATGTCTATAGTACTTATCAATTTTAATGGAGTGTACCTAGTGCAGGAGTTTTTT